CCTACAGCCCCGACCTTGCCCCGTCCGATTATCACCTTTTCGTTGCCCTGGACCGTCACATGGGTGGAAAGCAGTACGCCAACCAAGACGACCTGAAAACCGATTTGGCCAACTTTTTCGTAGTGCAGCCGCCAGAGTTCTATTGGAATGGCATCCATAGTTTGCATAAACGTTGGCGTGAAGTGATAGAGGCCAATGGTGATTACATTCATGATTGAGATGATTTTGCTTTTAAATAAACTGGGTTGTAATAATTGTTCATGAAATTCCGAGAACTTTCTTTCCAATCAGATAGAAGAGACGATATAGTAAATTTTGGCTGCTTCTTATTGCTGGCCTGCATGTTCTTGGAAGCAGTAAAATGTGTATGTTACACATTCATGACAAAGATATGTTAAGGTTCATTCAATGGTCAGTTTAGAGATTTTGCAATGAGTTCAAGATATTACAATCTGATGCTCGCAATCATCTAATGATTTCATTCAAGAGGAGCATAATTCACCTCCTCTCCATTTAACCATCCCTCAGTCCTAACAGTAAACCTGTCATTCTGGCCCTTAATTTTCCTTGTGATGTCAGCTTAAGCAATGTTTGTAAGTACTTATACCAGGCAGCAGCTGTGATGGGTCTAATGGAAATTTTTCCTTTTCAACAGGCATTTGGAGGCCTAGTGATAGCTGTCACCATCAAATATGCAGATAACATTCTCAAGGGATTCTCAACCTCTTTCTCCATCATACTGTCATCTCTCTGCTCTTATTTCTTGCTCAACGATTTAGACCTCTCCAACAACTTCATTTTAGGCTCATTTCTTGTCATATGTGCCACATTCTTCTATGGATGCAAGTTCAACTATCCTGAAAAGGAAGAGGTTCTTCAGCAGAAGGTAAGCAGGTTTGCTTTGGCTGTTTTCATTATGGAGGACTTCATTTCAGGCCCATGTTTGAACATTCATTTTGCTAAAGGGTATGGAGCTAAACTGGGGAGATGCTCGATAGTATTTTGAGATTTGATTGAGATGTTTGTTTGCTAGATGCTCTGATTTAAGTTCCATTGTGCATGTTGTTGGAACTGATTGGGAATTTTGTGAGTCATCAGTCTTTCTTTTTTCAATGCTGTTCTGAGGCTGGCCCTAGTGTTGACATGGCTTGATGAGGTAATGATGAGCTAAATGGGAATGTTGACAAGTATGGGGTGAACAGAATAATTCTGATGACTCTGGTGGCAGAGAAATGACAGGTGTACTGGGTAGGCCAAAATAAAACCAGGCAGTTTTCAACAATATGCTGTACTTCACTCGCAGAATATATTTAAATGCAGTTTGTGGTCTTTGAAGAGGAATGAATAAGCTATAAAATGGTGTACTCACATTTCACATATCTTCAACACTTTTAGGGATTTGGGAGCTCACATGAACAACATGCAAAAACTGTGTTGACCATGCACTTGAATGTAGATGACATGTGAGCTTCAACTGCCACATGTCCATTTTCACTGCTACAAAAAATCCAGTTTTTGTTAGCAGTTGATATCAGCTTTCGAATTTCCGAAACTATTGAAGTTATTTAAAATGTAAGTACACCATATTAAGGCTTAGTCATTCCTCTTTCAAATGCAGCAAATCACTTTAAAATACATGCAGTGAGTGCAGTACATTGTATTGGTGAAAACTTGTCTCTTTTTTTTGGCCCACCCTGTATTTGAATGGAAGGTGGAAATATGGCTGCTTATTTTAGCACATTGGTTTGGAATCTATTCTTCAATGTATACATTCTCTCATCAGTTCAAGTGTGAAAGAGAAATGCCAAGACATACTGTACTTTTAACACATTTGCTGCCAAATGCAAACATTTTTTGTATCTGTGCCTCCTTTGACTTAATTCTTAATATCTTCAGCAGATGGTGTTCAAATGCTATTTAAGTTGCAGGACACATAGAGGAAACTTCAACCTAGCGAAGTACAGGGTGTCCTAAAAAAATGTTATTTTCAGAGATACATGAATGAAAGTTACAGTATAATATTTAAAATGAAGCAAAGCTTTATTCACTCATGAATCACATGTTCAAAATGAGCCCCATGGCAAAGACAACATTCACGGATTCATGTAGCAAAATTCAAAGTAACCTCTTACACTTGATTCATGTTTATGTCTTTGATTTTCTCTCTGATGACATTCTTCACCTCTGTAGTCCATGGTCTAGATCCTAATTTGAGATCAAACAACTGGGAAAGTGTTCTTGCAACCAGTCCATAACAATTCTTGCTGTATGGCTTGTGGCCTCACCTTGTTGGAAAATTGTGTCAGTCATGTGTCGGTGCCCTAATTCTGGCCAAAAAAAAGAGCGATTGCCTGGAAACTGCTGCCAGAACCTATGCTAGACTGTAATAGTTGACTTGGTCTCCAAGTGACACTCAGCAATGAATGTGCACTGTTTTGTTGTAAATTGATTCACCATTCAATCTGCAAAAAAAACTAAACAAATTTCAACTCTTAACTGAAATATATTGTAACTCTCATTCATGTATCTCTCTAAAAGAAAAATATATATAGAGCTTTAAAATGGGAAAGGTTTTTTTTTAGGACACACTGTACATATTAGTTTCCTATACAAATTGACCAGAAGTTTATATTTGATGATTGATAAATCACATTGTGTTTTTGTACTGTTTGTGTTTAGCAAAGGCTAGTGAGAGAAAGCATGTGGATATATTGCAGGAAAGGGACATTTTTGACAAAATATATGCAGATAGCAATTCAGAACAGGAATTTATTGATTGTGAAGATGATTCTGATGGTTATGACACAGATAATGATGTTGAAAATAGATCTAATGTTTTGGGTGACAATTCTGGTGTCACCTTGCAAGCCAACTGAATGGCAGTTCCTGATGAAGAAAGAGATAATACCCCTACTGCTGAGGAAGATTGGTCTGATACAGATCATGATTTATGGATCAATGCTTTTAGAGGTATAGCAAGTTTTGCACAGTAACTTGAAAACTGAATCCAGGTAGCAATAATGGCTGGCACAGGGAGAATGTTACCACCCAAAATCGATTGGCAGTGAATGTGTTAATGCTATGATCAACTTACTGCTCCCATTTTAATTGAGAGTGAATTCATTTTTGTGGCTGGCCATGGTCAAGCCCATTAATGGATAATTTCTCATCATAAAATGCACTCTTGGTGCACTGAATTGGATGAGCATAATTCACTTATTTTGGATCATCTAGGTAGAAATGAATAGATACATTGATTTATGCACTAAATTTTTCAGCTGGGAACCCATGAAAAAGTTTTTATTTGCCTTCAGAAATCTCATTTGTGAATGCAGTCATGACAGGGATTGGAGAAGTAAGCCATGTTTCCAGAGTAGATCTTTGATTTTTGGGGCCTGTCAGAAACCAGTTTGTGGTAATAACTGCCTGTGCTGTGTATGCTGTATGTATTGAATTGGTTCCAACCAGTGGCCCTCCCACCCCCAAATTATCATACACTGATTCAACTCCTATCAGGCTATACCCTACTCTAACCTATATTCATCTATTTACAGGCATTACTTGCCATCAATTTTAAATGCCATGTTAAGATCATATAATGCAATTGTTGAGCATAAGAATGAAAGTGCAGAAAACCCCTTCTCTATACAACTTCTTCTTGTCAGAGATGGAGCATAGCTGTCATGAGTCATCTCCAGGGTTATTTGAAAGTTGTGGTTTGGGAACCTGGGGAATTCTCCCCACTGAGAGAAAGCAATTAAAGATAATCCTTCCCACCAGATGTCATTGTGATCACTAGTTATAGTACAGCCCTGCAATGACCAGTTTTGATGAACCTGGCCTGATTGACTTGCACCGAAATCTGGCCTGTAGCTTATTTGAACTCTGCTGCCAACCATGCCTCACTATCTGGCTAAAACACAGCAAATGCATGAATTGTGTATGAATGTTCATGCTTGTTTTTATATGATACATTTTTATTTTGTCTAGCCCCTGCACTTAAATCTCAGTACCAAGTGATTTGGAATGAAAACTATTTGTATGAACGAACCTCTTAGTGTTGGACTTCAAAATATTCCAATCACCTGTAATTTTTATGTTTTCTTAGGGTGTAGCAAAAGTAAGGTGAAGCAAGGATCCCTAAGTGGGACTGTTTTCAGAACCACAGATTATATATGGCATGAGCCTGAAATCATTATGGTGCCTGACTTTTGCTGCACCCTTTATATTGACATACTTTTTCACAGGGAAAAATAAGGGTTGGAGGAAATTGATGGTTTTTAAGAATGTATTAAAAGTCTTGTTTATATCAAAATAAGATTTATATATGCCTTCTGTTTATTTTGGTGCATATTTTCTATCCCACAGCCTTTCTGTTGAATCCTTCATTATCATACTTAGCATTGAGAATGAGGAAAAAAGAAGTATTTCATGTTTATAGTTGAGAGAGCAGCTCTGTATTTCCTGGAGGGATTGAGAATGTAGTGAAAGTAAAGCAATATCAGTAATAGAATATGTTCATTCAGTGTGTCCTTTCAAATACAGAAACTGATAGAAGGGTGGTTCTACTGTAGTTACTGTCTGGTGCCCCATCTTGTGGCAAGAGCTGTCTGGAACCAATTTTAAAGAGAGAGTTCCCAAGTCATATATTTGCTATTAACCCTTCACATTAGATATAGGTCACTGACCTGAAAAAAATCTCTTCCTGTACTAAGTTTTTATTTTATGTGGCAGTACCAGCACAGCCACATATCTGGAGGTACATTGGTTGGAGACCTTCTTGCTGTAATTTATCTTACTGTGGTGAATGAAAGTACAGTTAGCAGCAGAGCAAAATCCATTATTGATTGCAGCAAGAAGTAGACCTGATTCTTCCCCAGCATCTTCCATTTGAAATCTTTTGATACTGTCTTCTCTGGAAAGTATCAAAATGATATGAAAAGTTAGCTTCTGAACTTGTGTAGAAAAATGTGGTACCTGTGCACTTGGTTTATCCAGCAGTGCCCTTTAGTACCATCTACAGGGTACTTCCACACCCTGTTGAACATTATGAATATTAATTCTGACTACTTTTCCAGTTGGAGTGTTTTTTGTTGCATAGGAATGGGTTATTAGTTGTTCAACATGGTCATTTATGGTCCACAAGCCCAACAAGAAGTAGGCCTGTAACAATATATGACCATTTGACCAGTCAATGTCACATCCATAATTTAGCACATCTCCGGAGTGGATTGCTGGCCCTGCTATTTTTCATGTTTCATTGTTCAATCATAGTTCAAAGTTGTTGGATTTAAGGGCTTCGAGTTCTTGGACTCTGATCAACAATTGACAAATGTTTTGCCAAGTGTTGGTATTTGTAGGACTTCTATGACTTGCTGACCAGAGTCAGGAAGTCTTTGTAATCCCACATTTGACATCCTATATAGATCCTGCTATTTCATTGTTGCATGTACTACAGGCACAATTGAATGGATGAACAATGTATCTCATCAAATATGTGGTGCAATTTTCAGTTTTGCCAAAATGGGAAACATCCAAAGAAATGAAACCACAACAATTAGAATTTTTTAAGATCTAATATCTTTAAAATTCTAATTGTTGTGGTTTCAAAGATGAGAGAATAAAGGTGTAGGACAAAATTTAGATGACATAAGAAGGAAGGCAAAGTAAATAAAGGAGTGAAGTAATGTCTAAGGTCTTTGCTTAGCTTTGGTACTGGCCCTTTTTTTTTTCCAATATGTTCCCATTCATGAACAAGCCTACATTTCTAAAAATATTTATGCTGCTACCAGTCATGAATATTTTAGAAGTTCCCCATTCCCCCACGTTGAGTTTCCACACATTATGTATGAGGGAAGGTGCAAAAGTAGTGAGAGTTTGTAACTATGTGGGAAGGACTTTTGTGCGAATATAGACCCTATATTTCCCTAGGTAGTTTTCCTGCCTCGATACACATTTTCCCCATCTGTGATTCCATTTATTGAAAGAAAGACAACAA